GCCGCCCGCGCCGGCCCCACATACCGCGGCCGAGGCGCCCTGCTCCGCAGGAAGCCGCCGGCTGCAGCCGAGATCCGCGCACTTCCGGGAGCCGGGGCCTGGGAGCGGCCCGTTCCCAGACTTTTCACTGAATTTCCCCTTGAACTTCTCCATATCACAGGGGTGTAGGTTGGTCTAATAAAAGATATTCGATTCACCCAAAGAGCCTTGTCTGCCCTTAAATCCTGCGTGGGGGCACAGATTAGGTGTGAGGACATGAGTGTGAGCCTGGCTATCAGGGTGCAAACAACTTGCAGGTTTGGTGTGATCTTGAATCTGAGGGTGGAAAAGGAGATCAAATAGGTAGAGAAGTGATTCTGATGGTCAGGGATGGACAAGAGTGGAGATGATCCTGGCTGCTAGAGCAAAAGGTAGGCTGTACCCTTGTGGGAACTGGAGTGACTTTAGCTATAGAAACAGCTGGGAAATGGAGAGCCCCAGGCAGTCTCATCATACCAGCAGGACAAGCTGAAAAGTCTGAGGAAGGAACTGAGTCTCCTACCTGAAAACAAGACACAGGAAGGCCCTACAGACCTAGGGCACTGCAGAGAATACACACAAGGTTTTACAGGCTGCAGCTGTAATTTTCTGCCACACAAGGTCTCCTTTTCATATGCTTTTGTAATATGGGATGGGACAAGACAGAAAGTTGCTATGGGGAATATGGATACCATACAGTATATTAACACACATTACCATATATCCCTCAGGTCTAAGAGGTGTTTGTTCTGCTGCCATACTAGCATACATCATTTTACCTGGGGAATCTGAGAATCAAGTCTGGATTTTGGCTATATCATCAAGATGGTATTTTACAATGAAAGTGCAGTTTTATTTTCATAGATTTCATAGACATTAGGGCTGGAAGGGACCTCGGAGGATCATTGAGTCCAGCCCCCTGCCCAAAGGGCAGGAAGTCAGCTGGGGTCGTAGGATCCCAGCAAGTTAAGCATCCAATTTGCTCTTGAAGTGTTCAATGTAGGTGCTTGAACCACCTCCGATGGCAGGCTGTTCCAGACCTTGGGGGCTCGGACAGTAAAGAAATTCTTCCTTATGTCCAGCCTGAAATAGTCTCGCAGTAGTTTATGACTGTTCGACCTCATCATACCTTGGGGTGTTCTGGTGAACAGATGTTCCCCCAGATCCTGGTGGTCACCCCTGATAAACTTATAGGTGGCCATCAGATCACCCCTGAGCCTGCACTTTTCCAGGGTAAAGAGCCCCATGGCTCTCAGCCTGTCATCGTAAGGTCTGTTCTCCTGACCTCTGATCATGTGCATGGCTCTTTTCTGGACTCTCTCAAGCTTCTCCACATCTTTTTTGAATTGTGGAGCCCAAAACTGGATGCAGTACTCCAGCTGCGGCCTCACCAAGGCCGAGTACAAGGGGAGAATGACATCCCAGGATTTGCTTGAGAAGCATCTATGGATGCAAGCCAGCGTTTTGGTCACTTTAGTAGCCGCAGCATCGCATTGAAGGCTCATGTTCATCTTGTGATCAATGATGACCCCCGAGTCTCTTTCTGCCATAGTGCTGGCCAGCGTAGCACTGCCTAGCCTATAAGGATGCTGCAGGTTTTTCTTCCCAAGGTGGAGAACCTTGCATTTTTTGGTGTTAAAAACCATTAGGTTCTTGTCCGCCCATTTGCTGAGCCTGTCCAGGTCAGTCTGGATCGTCCGCCTGTCCTCTGGCGTGGATGCTTTGCCCCTAAGTTCGGTGTCATCGGCGAACTTGGCCAGTCCGCTCCTGACTCCAATGTCCACATCATTAATGAAGATGTTGAACAATATGGGTCCAAGGACAGATCCTTGGGGGACCCCACTGGTCACAGGGCACCATGATGACTGACTGCCATCAATTACTACGCTCTGGGTCCGACCACAGAGCCAATTACCCAGCCAGCAGATCCTGGTGGACCCACGGCCACAATTGGCCAGTTTTGCCAAGAGGTGATCATGGGATACCAGATCGAAAGCTTTTTTGAAGTCAAGATATATGACATCAATCTCTTCTCCCTTGGCCAGGTGATAGGTCACCTGGTCGTAGAAGGAAATGAGATTGGTCAAGCAAGACCTACCCGCAACAAGCCCGTGCTGGCTATCCCTCAGGATGTTGGCATCAGCTAGTCCATTAAGGATGGCCTCTTTAATAA